CTTTTCCAACCAAACAATTCTGTGATTCTGCGATTCCTGTGCTGCAGCTATTTCACAAAATAATCGCTGAGCTGAACACAGCCCTTTGTTTGTGTGCCAGCAAACGTGGCGGTGCTGGTGTCCTCGGTGTCCTGCGGTCTGTTGAAGCTGAAGAGTGGAGTCTCCATCTCTGGAGATGTTCCAAACCCACCTGGACACTTTCCTGTGCAACCTGGTGTAGGCTTTGGCAGGGGGTTTGGACTGGAAGATCTCCTGAGGTTCCTTCCAGCCCCACCATTCTGTGACTGTGAAGAGTGGTGAAACAGGTTTTAAAAGCTTTGCTGTTACTGCTGTTGATTATTAAAAAATATTTAATTTCTGCATGGTAAGAGTCTGAGAAATAATTACTGCAACAGCATCTGTGTTCCCTTGTTTGCAGGTGGAAGAGCTGGCACTACAGTCCATGATCAGGTCGAGAGAGGAGAACGGAGAGGACTCTTCGTCGGCTGTTGCAGAGGAGCCTCATCAAGTAAGGGGAGCCCCGGCCTGGTGAAGAGCAAGGGGCTGGTGTTCCCCTGGGATGGGCTGTGTCAGCGTGAGCAACAGGGAGAGGAGAGTGGCCACCTGTTTCTGTGGGTGTTGGTGACACTCACCTCCTCATAGCTCTCGGCTCGCTCCTCCAAAAGAGGCTCCAGATCCAGCAACCACACTGGTCCCCAATGAGGAAGGATCATAGATTCATAGACTGGTTTGGGTTGGAAGGGACCTATAAAGGTCACCTAGTCCCACCCCTCTGTGGTGAGCAGGGATATCTTCAACCAGATCAGGTTGCTCAGAGGTTGCTTAGGTTTTCAGCTAGAGTTCTTAAGGTTGACTTTGTTTTATGAGGAGCAGCTGAAAGAACTGGGGGTGTTGAGCCTGGAGAAAAGGAGGCTGAGGGGAGACCTTCTGGCTCTGTGCAAGTCCCTTGGAGGAGGGTGGAGAGAGGTGGGGCTGCGTCTGTTCAACCAAGGACCAAGGGACAGGACAAGAGGAAATGGGCTCCAGTTGTGGCCAGGGCAGTTGAGATGGGATGTGAGGAAGAATTTATTTGCTGCAAGGGTTCTGAGGCATTGGAAGGGGTTGCCCAGGGCAGTGGTGGAGTCCCCATCCCTGGAGGGATTGAAGAGTCGTGTAGACATAGTGCTGAGGGACATGGGTTAGTCATAGGGGACTTGTCAGTGTTGGGTTCATGGTTGGACTCGATGATCTTAAAGGGCTTTTCCAGTCGAGGCAGTTCTGGGATTCTCCTGAACTGAAAGGCTCAGGTGTAAAATCTGGTTTGTTGCAAGTTTATGTTTCAAGTCCAACCCAAAGGGGTTTCACCTTTTCCCATCCCTGGAAGCAGCACGTTATTCCCAAACACCCGCTTGCTATTGGTGTAGCCTCAGCTTGCTCTTGATGAGCTTTATTAAGCATCGTGTCTAATCTTCTTCTTAACTGTGACACCTGGGTTTAGCCAGCTGATCAGAGGGGAGGCAGGTACAGAGATCTTCTGAACTTCTGACTAAATCTGTGGTCAGCCTGAACTAGATGAAAGGCTTCTATGGAGAACTGGTTCCTGTCACTGGGATGGGCTCGTGCAGCCAACAGTTCTGGTACCAGACGCTGTGACTGTGCAGTTTCAGTAGTGATTGGAGAAGTATTCGCTATCACTGCCAGGCTTGATAATTAGCAAGTTAAACTCTTGTTTTGTGACAGACTCTGGGGCAGATGGACAACGAGGCTGCTATCAATCAAACAGAATTACACCTAAGTCTGCAAGAGCATGAAGAAGAGGAGGAAGAAGAGGAGGAAGAATCAGATTCTTGAGAGAGAAAAAAATCAGAGATGGTTTTTAATGCAGACTCATGAATTTCTTCTTCTTTCATATAAAATTCACCAACTGGTTGTTGTTTTTCACGGATATGAACTATCTGATACACGAGACTCTCCAAGTCCAGGGAGGTGACACTAGAACCCATGAATGTCACAAGCTCGGCACATCTCGACTGAAGTGTTAAAAGAATGAAAATTTGCTGCACAAATATGTAGCATAATCCTTTCCACATTTACAACCTCATGTAGCTTACTACGCCTTTATAGGTGGATGGGAGAAATCACTGATCAAGTCAGACTAATTTAACATGTAATAGTTTGTAAAAACATGTAATTTAACTAATGTCACAGCAATAATTTGTCTGTTCCTATTTCCTGATGCTGAAGAAATAAAACCAGGCCAAGGAGGCTGGGTGCTGAACCAGTGATTATGTTAGAACCTCATTTGCTTCCACTGGGAATTTTAAGATCGGCCGTGAGAAGAGCCGTGGCCGGGATTGTCTCTGGGCTTCCAGCTGCTGCGTTCTCAGTTACAGGGAAAACTGGACTGGGGGAGCGAGATGGAGCTGTTCTTACGCCTGGAGAAACAGATACTGCACAGTCCACCTGAGTGTGAGTGTGGTAATGAGGTGGCCTCTCTTTCTACACACTGGTGCTCTTCTCAAGCACTGTCAGACTGTATCAGTGCCTCCTTCAGAGTAGCAGCCAATTTGCCTTTTATTTGTCCACAAATTGCACGTTAAAAATTGCTCCGTGTTAATTCTAATAAGGAACTAATATTTTTAAATTAGTGTTATTTTCTTTCTCCCTCACAGTAACTTCATAAATCAGTGCACGTCCACCTTCTGCTTTCAAGTGAGCTTCGAGGAGTTTTAGGAACTTATGAAATGGAAAGTGACGTGATGTCCCCTCCACACTTTCTTTAGTGGTACGGAAACAACCTCGTGCTGCTCTTACCGACAGCCAGTATGTTTGGTCTCCTCATGGAGTGCAGACACTGTGGTGTAGCTGCTTATATTATCCCTCCTTAAAGAATAGTTTTAAAGCACAGAAACCCAAATCTGTTAAACTGATTAAAAACAATAAAAGTAATATTCTAACTCAGCCACTTTGGCAACTGTCTTGCTAGGAAAACAGTTAAATCCAGGGTTGGTTGTTGCACAACGAGGATCTAAAGCTGCTGTCTCTGTCATCACTCAGGAGATAATACAATAAACACTTTTGCTTTTAAGAGCAGAATGTGGAGAAGTGTCCTGGCTGTGGCCAGAACACACGATTCAACCTCCAGCGAGCTCCTGCCCCTGCTACAGATGAGACTGGGCTTGTAGTGACAGAAACTGAGCAGTGGGATGCAAACACAGCTTCAGCCTCTACTAAAAACTAAGCAGTTTTTAAGTTGGAGCTTAAAACACCAGAAGATCCAGCAAAGCCTTCTCAAGAATGACAGGTAAAAAAACCAAATTCAAGTCTGACCAGAAAATGTTATGGCTTGGACTGTCAAATAATTCTTTGAAGATTTATTATTTATCTTTATTATTAAGATTTTTAAATGTGAAGAGCTGCTTTGTGAGGAGCGCAGTAGCCAGCTTCTCCTTTCAACATTCAGGGCACTTCCCTTGGCTGCTGTACATCACAACCACTTGCCACCTTTACTTTGCTTCTGGGCAAATGACATGCTGGACAAGTTGCTCCTGGGTGATTTTGACTGTTGAAAAAAATTGTTATTTGTCCCCAGCCTGTTTCAGGGTAGTTTTTGTGGCTGTACTTTATCTCCCCTCTTCCTGGTACCTGTTATGACCGAGTCCCTTGCTTGCTTTTGGGTTAAAACAGATGAGTTCTATTGCATGTCACAATAAAGTACTTTTCCTGGTGTCCCACCACATCTACTCTGCTTGCTTTGTTTACATGGTTGATGACTGTGGAGCAAATAAAACTGGATTTAAATATCTTCAAAACTTACTGTTCACATACTGCCTCTTTCTTTTACCAAATAGTAACAAGTAGCACTGTAGTTTTTCAGTGTGTTACTGTGTCTAATTCACATATAAATTAAACTCTACCCAGCTTTGTCACCACTACCTACAGTCACACTCAAGTGAGGACAAGCTGCAGGAAACCTCAGACGTGTCAATGAGTCATTTCCTCCTCCTGCTGGGTTGAGGGTTATTCTATCCCTCGCTCTGATACTGGATCCTGTCTGCCAAGTGGAAGTTCATCTCTAGAGTGATTTGGAGTCCTTTTGGGAAGGAACTTCAGCTGTTTCCATGCCTGAAACATCCTTTCAAGGAGCTAAACTTTTTATAGCACTGTTAAGAGAGCAAGATGGTCACCTGTCCTTGCTTTTTTGTTGTGCACCAAGAGGAAGGAGCTGGCTGAGTAACTGACAGAAGCTGAACTTCTTCAGGTTGTTTTTCTTCAGAAATAAGTGCAGTAATCACTCTTGGTAAGTGAGAGATGGTGGCTGGAGCACAACATTCTGGTGTTTTGTGCCACAAGGCTGGTCTGCCTTCGGAAAATGCCTGTCACACCCCACCCAAGGGGTTACAGCACGAACCGAGCATCGAATGCTGTACAAGTCGTGTGAGCACTACCCAGACACAACCTCTGTGGGCAAGTTTTCCACAGAAATCCAGTAAACAGTATTAACACACTGCAACAGCATTTCTTCAAGCCCCATTTCACACATCACCATTTCACATAAGCAAACTTGTAGCTGTTGGAACTGAAGGCCTTGCATGGTTGTGAAAAAAAAAGTAGAAAAAGGTTGTGCAATGCAGCAGTGACTTCTGAGGAAGGGTTTGGTTAAGTTTGAGTTTTAAAAAGAGCTCCGAGAAGCTACTTGATAATATATTTATTAAGAGAATCCATTGCTAAACATCTGAGAGAATAAAACAATAGAGGATCTTCATACACTTTAGACACTAAACACAGTCGTCATGAATTTTTAGGTTAAAAGAAAGCAAATTGCCTGGATCTTTGTCTTGATTCTGTAAGACACTTCCAAGAACTAACTTTTAAAAATCAATGAGAAAAGACATACATCACTAAATCCAAGTATGATGATATGTTTTAAAAATAAATATAGAAATATGAACAAGTCTACAATTAGAATATTGCCCTGTACATTTCCAAGAAACGCAGAGCTCTTGCCTTCTTTACCTGGAAAGAGAGATCTCTAAACAACAGCAAAATTGGAACCATGATGCCTAACTTTCAGATACAGCTTGGCAGCAGCAAAAGCATGCTCGACAGATACAGTTTTGGAGCATCCCTAAACCCTTTTTTGCATGGGAGATTAGGTAAGCACGATTGAAGTACCAACAATTTACGAAGAATCCCAAGAAAGTTCAAACAAGCTGAGGGTAAACACACCCCCCCCAGTGATATTTTCGTTAAGAAAGAATATCCATAATCACTTAAAATCAGCAAGCACTGGAACTTAAAACATTTGAACATTTTGGTCAGTAAACAAATGTCATCCAATACAATACCAATTAGTTTAGGACAAAATTTAAAACCATTTGGCACATGCTATAGAGACATTCTTCCTTAAGAGGTGAAATACATGTTTGAACAGGTACAAGCTGAGGAAATAGGACCAAAATAGCGTTGTTTGTTGTTGTTAACAGATGTACAGTACAAGATTTGCTTTCCCATATTCAGACTCCAGCAGCATGCGTGGGCGTACTCGGTTGGTTAAGGCCTATGGTTGAACAAAGCCACCCTGCAAAATCCACCTCCTCCGCTTCAGATCTCTTAATGAAAGCATGAATCTGAGCAGAGGAGAAGAATGTTATTATTCAAGCACTCAATCTGTTCAATAATAATTCTGAATAACAAGAAAGTAAACTGGATGTGTTGTAGTTCGGTATCCAAGCTAACTATAAAATTTAGCACACCACAGGAAGTGACCAGGAGAGGTTTTCTGCAGGGTGAGCGAGATAACCAGCACGTGACACACACACACATGGCAAAATTATCCCAGAGGAATGCTGCCTACACAGTGCCTATTGCAGAACACTCACACCCCGGTGCGCGATAAGGGTGTGACTCAGCCGCTTGAGATAACGCTCTGGAAAATGTCTGCCCCTGCACTGAAAGGCTTTAGGTAACAGAAAGATTCTGATTGCATTTTGCAACCCTGTACAGCAGGATCAGGGCAGGGAAAACTTGATTTTCTGCAGTAGAACTTAAGTCCTAGAATTGCACTTCAGGCCACGAAAAGATGCACTGAAACCATCATTTTATGCATTAAAAAAAATACAGGATTTGTTTGTGTCTAATAGTTCTACATATTCTGCAAGACAAAGCTGATGAAAAAAAAGAGAGGCAAATTTTGTGTTTCATAACAGATAATAAAAATGTATTTAACTATTTCATAAGGTATGTGGAATTTTGTTCTTTCATCCTCCTAAAAGTAATTATCTGTATACTTTATTATTGATTAATAAAGCCAGGAAAGAGAGAATTCTTTTGCTAATTAATTTAATAGCATTAGGTCATATACTAATGGTAATTATCAGACAGACTCCAAAAACCACTAGTTTTGGTCTCCTGGACAGTCCCTGTTCTAGGAGTGTGTGAAAGCCTGAGGCCTCTTGATCAGAAAAGCAGCCCCTCCTCAAACTGTTGTGTCCAGGGCCATTAACTACACTCTGACCCTGCTCTGGTCAGCTGAGGAACCCAACCTGCATGGAAGAGTGCTCTTAGTTCAAGTTAAGAACTTTCACTTACCATCAGCTGCTTCAAATCAGCTCTCTCAGCAGGATTTTTAATTAAACTAGGAAAACAGAAAGTGTTAACACAAGTTACACACTATTATCCTTTAAAATAAGGATGAAGTTATAGCATGTCGGTGTACTGCCTCTCAAACACAGGTCAGGGTCTGTAAGCAATGCCCTTCTGTGGAGGTCACAGGTATAATTTTAGGTATGAAATCCTGAGTTGTCTGATACTGTTCAGCAGGGGCAGGAGTGAGTGTCTATAACCAAGCTGGAGAGATCAAATTCCCACTGAAACAAAAACTCAACAACATTATAAATTTAATCTATCTCTCACGTTTCTTTTCCCCACATCTTTTCAAGTTCACTGTCAAGTACAGCTACTGTGTTACTGTTCTTCCTTTGGGAACCAGTAAGTACACATTGTCCTGGTTTTGCTGGGATAGGGCTGATTTTCTCCTCAGGAGCTGGAATAGCTGTGTTTTGGTTTCAGTGTGGGATTTGTTAGGAGAAGAATGTTGATAATGTATTGATGTTTTCAGTTGTTACTGAGGACAAAGGACACTTTGAACTTCCCTGTGTTTTGGCAGCCTACAGGTGCAAAGGATTTGGGGGGCAGAGGGAGGGAGCATAGTGATTTGCAAACCCAAATTAGCATTTGGCTCTGCCAACAGGATATTCCATCTCATATAACAATGTTCAGTATATTAATGAGGGCTGGCTGGATCTGGGGCCTAAGATAGACTAATTCTATCTCTCAGGCTCTTGCTCTATGGGGATCATGGTTTCAGTTTCAGGATTCTCTCTGCTCCGGGATTGCTAGTTGAGGACCAGGCTGGGCATTGCTCAATGGATGGTGAGCAATTGCACTGTGCATCATTCATTTGTATTTTCTACTATCATTATTATTTTGATTCATTTATTAAATTGTTTTTACCTCAACCCATGAGTTTTCTCACTTTTGCCCTTCTGATTCTCTCCCCCATTCCACTGAGCAAGCAGCTGCTTGGGTGCTGGTCAGGATAAAACCACCACACATATACTTAGCTTTTAATAAATAAAACTTTCCAAACTGTAATGAACTGCCTCCCTTAGCACTGAATATACTGGTTCAGTGCTGGTATCACCAAAGTGCAAATGGAAAAGTAAATAGATGGGAGAGTCACTGGTGTGATAAAGATGTTAGTTCAGTGAAGCACTGGGAAAGAAAAAAAGCATCTGGAGCTGCAAGACTTCAGCACCATATGGAATGGTCACTGCAGAAAGGTGTGAAGGTTACCCTTAAAAAGTAAGGATCCCCCTTTAGCTGTATGATCAGAGTCTGTAAGTACTGGGGTGTCTTCAATGCTGAGAAAATATTAATCTTGGGTGCACACAGAAGCAGAAATTGTATTTTAAAGAGGGGAACATCTCTCAGTTTTGGGGTCATCTTTGGATGCATTTGCTGTCAAGCTGGTGCCTGTAAAGTGAGCTCTAGGCACATTAACAGTCAGAGAAAGAGGATGATGCCAACTGAAATTACACTTGCCACGGCCTACAAGTAGGGACCCTGACTGCCAAGTGATTTATACAGTAAGACAGCAGTGCTGATCCCAAATGTGTCCCTTTGCAACTTAGCCATCGAGAAAATACTCACCATTTGTTAACAAAATCTTGGAATTCAGAACCAAAAACACCGTTGGGCAGTTTTGGAGGGAAAGGAAAGTAATAAAAAAAAAAAAAAAAAAAAAAAAGAAATTCAGCAGTCATTCAGCTTAACTAATATATGATGATGCACAACCTACCCAGAGATCTACCAATGATATGTTCTGTATCTGGGAAAGCTGTAAAACCCTGGCATGACCCAAGCCTTCTTTCAAGTCTGAGCTCCAAAACAAACATCAGGCAGACTTCAGCTTCCATGCATATGAATAAAGGATGTGCTGTCATATGATTTATAAAAGTAAAGAAGTTGAGTTTATCACTGACTAATTTTGGTTATTACTCTCACAGCTGCTGGATTTTAGGTGTTTCAGTAATAAATCAGGCCAGAGACAGTTTCTGTGGTGTGGGCTGGTGTTGTTTGGTTGGTTGGTTTTGGTTGGTTGGGGTTTTTTAATTTTTTTTCCTTCTATACACACACCTGAATGGGGTTAAGACAGCCTTGAGCTGTCATTAAAGGCAGCTCAGAGCAGCTGGTAGTAATTAGTATTGTGCTATTCTCCTCATTACTAATCTCCAGTTTGGGGAAGGGAAGATGCTCTTCACATCATTAGTTCCCTAATCCTTTTGATCTAAATATTCTATCCCTGGGAATGAGTTTGTTCAGGTTCTTAATTAAAAAAGAATTCTGAAAAAGAGAGAAGAGGTGCTGTGTAAACCTGCATATTACTGTCTTGTTCTCCATGACATCTGCTATAGGATCAGAGTTAAGTTTTCATTCTTACACCATGGCTCTTGCAAGCACTTACACTTGGGTTACGTGTACGTGCAGAGCTGAGGGCTGGCCTGCATTCAGTTACTCAGTGGTGTGCAGGTTTTGCTGGATGTAGCAGCTCATGCTGAAGATTTCTTGCACTACAGCAGAGGTGGCAGAAGATAATCTTGCCAAATTCTCAACTACTGCAGTTTTTCAGCTTAAACTGATCTCCTCGGGGAGGCTAAAAGAGCAGGACTGTAGTATCTTACATAATCCAATGCTAACCCTATTCCAAGAGCTGGTGCTGTCATATTAAAGTGCTGTATAATATCAAAATAGGTTTGCAATGTGAGAGGAGAACTGTGCATGCAGACGAGGAACAGGAGCAATTTCTCAGTACGTGTACAGGAGCATAAGCAATGCCAGTCCTGGCAGGGACCTAGACACCAACTGTGCTTTTTAAACAGGTGTGTCAGACACACTCTTTTATAATTCATTCACCTGGAACAGTTATGTTATCCAGCTGTTATAAATGATAGCTAACATGAGGACACTTTTGTGGTAGTGGGTGGGGGTTTTTTTGTTTGCTTGTTTTTTTTTTGTTTGATTTGGGTTTTTTTTGGAAGAACACAAGCAGTGGAGTCACATGAGTTTCAGTAGCACTTGTGAAAATATTAGATTATCAATTCTAAAATACCAGTCTCCATTAACTACCCTTGTAGCTTAGCTATTTGAAACATACAGTATTATAAATTAGGTTGTTCATAAGACTGAAACAAATTAAATTTTTTAAAAATCAGTTTTGAGTATGCCTGATCATACCAATTGGTATTAACTGTCCTAACAGGTTGCATGGTCCAGGCTGGAAAACTCATAAACCTACTTCAATGAAGCAGAGAAATGAACTAAAATTTTCCTGGGAATAATTTCAAATCAAGCCAACACACATAACAAGGATGTGCGTCTCATACTGCAGCAATAAAAGACCAGAAGACCTGGCTTATCCTAACACTAAATGCACACCCCTGCAAATTCTGTATGCTTTTAAAATGTACAATGGTATTAGTACAAGTGCAAATAGGTGATTACCTCATTGACGATGTAATCAAGGAGTTCAAAGATTGCCATTGGGGGTCGGCTGTCTGGTCCATAGGCTAAGAAGAAATTGGGGAAGTAGAAAAATACAGTGTGACTCACCTTCTGTAGTAGGAGTTCTTTAAGAATCTAAGCAACACACTATTCTTACATGGCATCCAGTAGATTTACAGGAACAACAACAGGATAATACTTCAATGCAAGGAGAAATTGTTTTCAGGTCTCATCCAAACCCACTAACTTTACTGGGAATTGTCCTACAATTTGATCAGCACTGCATCTTAGATGAACCCTAACAACAGGCTGGGATCTTAACAGCACTCGTGAAGAGCTCAGTTATTAACAAAAGGTTCTCTGGTCCTTGATTCTCAGATACCTCCTCACAGTGAGGCTGAGCCAGGTGCCCAATACAATCTTGGTATTTTTAAAGTTTAAAGCCACACTATGCAGACCACTATCAGGTAAGAAAGACCTTTTAAGCTGACAGAGAAGGGTTTTAGAAAATAATTGAACAGATGATTGTAACTTACAGCTCACTGGTCGACCAGGTGTTCTTTGCCTGGGTGAGGTTTCAGTGACTGGAGAATCTCCTTCTACTGGGTAGCCAAACATTAATTCAAGCTCCTTCGAGTCAGGAGGAGGAATTGGGTATCTGCCAATGGCCATTTCTACCAGTGACAACCCCATACTCCATATATCTGATTGCACTGAATAATGAGTTCCCTGTAGTCTTTCCGGCTATATTTAAAATAAAAAAAGAGAAAAAGAGATAGTATTGTAACAAGAACAAAAA